CCTGCACGCCGGCCTCGACGTCCCGCCTGGGAAGGGGACTCCTGGCGGTGGGTGTCGTTTCTGCCGCCGCCGCTGCACCCTGTAGGCCCAACTCCCTTTCCCGGGAAAAGCGTCCTGCGTTGAATGTGCGTGTCCACGGCACGCTATGTCTTGCCCCGCATTCGGAAACACGCAAAGGTAAAGCCTTACATGCGTCTGCACTGAGGGCTTGTGCTGTTGCCATTGCAGTGAGAATCGTTACCAGAGGAGGAACTGGCGCCCTGAAACCTGTGCGGAAACGCGTGCCCGGCCCCTCTGACCCACTTGGCAGGCGCCCTGGCCTGCTTGGGGAGGAGGGCCAGTTGTCCCTCTGGTCCCATCCCTCTCCCCCAGCGGCCGCGCTGAGAACCTAAGGGCGGTCCAGAGCAGCTGCCTTGGATGGGGATGGCTGCGGGAAGCCACGCTCCAGAGGGAGCCAGAGCGACGCGGTGATTGGCTGGTGGCCCTCGAGGTCTTACCGCGCAGTGAGAACTCCTGTAAACTCTTGAGTCTCCCTTGGGACAGCCACCACACCACTGGGATTCTTCCCAGCCATGGTGTGGGGACTCAGCAGAGAAGGCGATTGGCTCCTGGCTCCTGGCGCTGTCTCGCCTTCCACAGTCAAGAACCCATCCACCCTCTTGGCATCTGAGAGGGGCCTTGAGAGTCCTTCTACCCCATGGGACGGGAGCAGAGTGACAGGCCACCTCCAGGCCAACTTTCTCAAACGAGCATGTCAGCTCCAAACTCAGAGAGCAGATATGGAGCAGCACCTGAGGGAAGGTGAGGCCACAGGACACCTGGGTCTCTGAATGACCCCCTGGGTGGACACATTCTGTCACCCAGCACCCAGGATTGTTACAGGAGCGGGGAAAAGATCCAGGACCCAGGCAGTGGCTCTCTGTTAAGGCACCCGGATCCACATGGGCACAGTTCTGGGTTGACATGCTGGGACCTCCCCCCCAAGCGCCCTGGGCATGTGTGCCCACAATCGGCCAACTGAGACCGGTGAATCACAGTGTGAAGATCCTGTTGGGGGTGCTTTTCTGTCTGTCTCTCGTGGAAGAAATAAATTTTAAAAACGGGAAAGACACCTAATTTGTACTCTGATAGTCATAGCAGTGTCGTTCACAATTGCCAAGAACAGAAGCCGCCCACGGGTCCAAGGACGGGAGGATGGATAAACGAAGGGTGCATCTGTACGATGAACTCGGCATAAACAAGCAGTCCTGACACGTGCCACGATGCAGGTGAGCTTCAAGGACACGACGCCACGTGAGCTGGGCCAGTCACAAACCACAAACCTCGTAACTCCAGTTACGGGAGGTGAATGGAGCAGTCGGATGCACAGGCCCGAAAAGAGCGGCAGGGGCTCTTAATCCTCCCTCCGGTGTTAGGAGGAAGGTGCTGGAAACAGAAGCGAGAGTGATAGGCAAAGATGCTGATACAAGCTTAGATACACACATGCGTACAGTCCAGAAAAGCACAAGTATGGGGGCCAGCAGTTGGCGTAAGGGCTATGTCGCTGGACTCCCATGTAGCTGACCGCGGTTCGAGTCCTAGACCCAGTGGCTTAAACTCATGCCTGCCAGGCGCGTGTGCGTGCGTGCCCGAGATCCTGAGAGGAGAATGGAGGGGAAGGGATTGCGGCATGGCCATCCCCCTGGGGAGTGATTTCTCGCTTTCTGTCTCTGTCTTTCTGGCAAGCGCACATGCCCTATAGCAAAAAAAAAAAAAAAAAAAACTCTATTAAAAGAAAAAAGTAGAAAAGCACAAGCATGCATCTCTTCAGAACAAGATGTGGATCTTATTAAAATGACTTTCAAGCTGCATCTGCCAAAGAATCAAAATCCCCAGATGAGACCGAGTACTCACATATAGCACTTTCTGTTCTCTAAAATTCTCGACACTCCAGGAGAAAAGGATTGGCCAAACCAAAAGCCCGAAGGTATCCTTAACTATAAAGTTTATTTTCATTTACGAAGGAAACGGGGCCAACCCACAGCATGGTGGTTAGTGTAGCTGGGTTCCACGTGGCTGACTGCAGGGTCTGAGTCCAGACCCAGTGCCCTGAGAAACGTGCTGGGCACATTTGTAGGTGTGCCCCAATTCCCGAGAGCAGAGAGCAATGGAGGTGAAGGGATTGCAGCATGGCTGTGGCCCATGGGGGTGCTGTCTCACTTTCCCTCTCTCTCCCGGTATCTGTCCAGCCAGTCTGTGTGCCCTCTTCTTGAAATAAAAAGAAGGAACCAACAGATGGCATAATGGTTACAGCACTGGACTCCCACATGGCAACCACAGTTCGAGTCCCGAGTCCCAAACCTGGCGGCTTGAAACTCACACTGGGCATGTATACATGTATGCCCAAAGTCCCGAGAGGAGAGTGGAGGAGAAGGGTTCGTGCCATGGCCATCTCCCCTAGTGGGTGATTCCTCACTTTCTGTCTCTCTGTCTCTGTGTCTCCAGTGAGCACATGTGCTCTATAGCAAAAATCTCTAAAAAAAAGAAAAGAAGAAGAAAAACCAGAAAGCCGGCTGATGACCCTGGAGGCTTCTGTGCAGGTGAAATCAGCTGTGGCAAAGAAGCTGCTGGGACAGAATCGGAGAGAGGCCAGCAGGGGTATTGGCTGATGTAAGTAAAACAACAAAAAGATGTAATGTTTCTGCTATAGGGCATGTGTTCTCGCAGGACAGAAAGACAGAGGGAAAGTGAGAAGTCACCCCGCTGGGGGACGGCCACACCAGACCTCCTCCTCCACGCTCCTCCTGGGACTTAAGGCACACATACCCAGCATGGTTTTCTTTTCTTTTTTTTAGAGAGGAATTTTTGCTATATGGCGCATGTGCTCACTGAAAAGACAGAAAGCAAGAAATAACACCCATCCCCAGGGGATGGCCACACCACAGTCCCTTCTCCTCATTCTCTCGGGATTGTGGGCACGCACACACACGACCAGCATGAGTTTTAAGTCACCAGGTCTGGCACTTGAACCACAGTCGACTCTGTGGGGTCCGGTGATGTAACCATTACACCATCTGCTGGCCCCCTGGCAAGATGTTCAAGCCTCCAGTCCGAACTTAAACTGTCATCAACCATGTGGGAATGTAGCACCCTAACCACCTGCCACCTGCTGGGCTCTAAATAAACTGTTTAAAAACTTGCTAACTTGGGACCAGCAGTTGGTGTAGTGGCTATGTCACTGGACTCCCATGTAGCCGATCAAGGTTCGCATCCTGGACCCGGTGGCTTAAACTCACGCCAGACGCATGTACATGCATGCCCAAGATCCCGAGAGGAGAATGGAGGAGAAGGGATTGCGGCGTGGCCATCCCCCCTGGGGGGGTGATTTCTCCCTTTCTGTCTTTCTGTCTCTCTGTCGGGCGAGCGCACATGCCCTATAGCACAAACCTCTCAAAAAAAAAAAAAAAGAAAACTTGCTAAACTTGTGTCTTCAGGCCCCAGATGATTCCGAGAGCTGTGAAAAGCAGTCGTACAGTGCACGTGGCGTGAGGGACACCAGCGGCTCTCCCCTGGGTGCTGCAGGCGCTTACTTCCTGGGGCCACCTTTCCTCACCTCACTGTCCAACATGGAATGCCTTCGTAGCTCATTCCACACTCACTCTCACTGCCTCTGCCTCCAGAGGTGCTGCTGGCGGAAGGGCAGGGGCCTGGGCTAGGCTTCTCAGCCCCCGCTCCGTCTGGGTGGTGGGGACGCAGCGTGTTGGGGATCCTCTCCAACCCCCTCAAGGACGTGAATGGGCGTGAGAGTGCCTCGTCCCGGAGTAAGTGGCCCTGAGGGGGAAAAGGCCACCAAGCGCAGGGCCTGTACTTCGTGTTTATGCAAGAAACTTAGGTTTAGGTGTGGTTGACATTCTTGACAGATGAAACAAATGTTTAAAGTACAGTGTGACTCTCCTTTGTGGATTTTGTATTTGTGAACTCTCCTATGAACAAAATGTCCTTGCACCCCCAAATAATCCTGGCACTGCCTTGCCTTCCCAGCATCCCCAGACTGCTGTGCGGGCCCAGCCAGGCCAGCAGACCAGCTCACCCCGTAAACGAGTGTCCCGCTCACAGCAGCCTGGTGCCAGTCTTCTGCATTTTGGTGCTAAGCAGCCCGCAGGCATGGCGCCAGAGCGGTGGTGCCCCAAGCAGGGGAGCTGGGACCTGGCTGACGCGGATCCGCGCAGTAGGTGAGCTTCACGCGAGCACGCAGCCCAGGCGAGGCCGGAACCAACTGCAGTGTGCTAAAGTGGAGGAAGGTGTCTTCAGACACATGGAAAGCAAGGCTGCGAGGCGCCGGGAACCTCGCCCCACCGCCCCCAGCGGCAAAGGTCAGGCTCGCTAATCCAGTGTTGGTGGGGGTGCCAATGTGGGCAGCAGCGGCCATCCCTTCCCAGCTGGCTGGCAGGAGGTCAGTGATCTGGGGTTTCCTGCTGTGATAGCTTCATCTCTGCGGGATCCGATGTGGGTTCCAGATAACGGCCCCCGCCCCACCCCGGATTATTCAGTAAAGTGCACAGAGCCACTGACCCTGCTGGGCACGCAGGAGCGGGCAGCTCCCGAGTCGTCCAGAGCACGCGGACAAGAGCCTGGGTGTTCCAGCTGGGGAAAGACCCAGCACATTAAATAAGCCGGGCCATCCAGCTGCAGGTGTGGCCCTCAGGCGACTTTCTGCACCCAGCTGATTAACAGAAGCCAAAGTCTCCCAGAACTTGCTGCCGGCAGGTCTGGGAGATGCTGTCTGTCTGTTTGTTTGTTGTAGACGTTTTGCCTTAGGGCATGTATGCTTGCAGGACAGAGACAGTGAGAGGGAAAGTGAGAAATCACCCCGGGGTGGGGGTGGTGGTGGCTATACCGCAACCCCTTCTTCTCCATTCTCTTCCTGGGATCTTAGACAGGCACACACAGGCACCCCGCGGGACTTACAAGCCACCAGGTCTGGGACTCGAACCGTGGTCGGCCATGTGGGCGTCCAGTCACATAACCACTGCTCCATCTGCTTGCCCTGGAAGATGCGGCTTTAACATCTCGCACTGCGGCACCCACCCCAGGGACCAGGGTCACTCTGGCCAGATGTTGAGAAACACAGCAGGGAGGAACTTTCCCAAGGATGCTGCCTGGGCAGCAGGGGTAAGGTCTGCTCCACGGATTCCCTCCCACGGTAGGCCTCGCTCACTGTCGGGTGTCCAAGGAAGAGGGTGTCCTGGCCCGCAGGACACCTGCGTGGGGGCCGGGGCTTCCTCCCGTGGGCAATGAGGCTCCGGCATACCGCTGCTTGCTGTGGAGCCTGGGTCTGGTCCTACCTCCGCCTTGCGTGCTCTCCTTTAAAGTTTATTTATTTAGGTCTTCCACAAAACAGAGATGGCCACGCCAATGGGGTCCTCATCTGCAACCCCTCCCAAGCCTCAGTCAGCCAGGATCTGGGCGCATGTGCCCACATGCAAAGTGACAGGGCAGTCTCAAGCCCAGAACCTTCCCGCGTGGGCTGGGCAGGCTGGCCTGCCTCTCTCCCGCTGTGTTACTGCAGGAGCGTCCACTTGCCTCGCTGAGCTTCCGTGAGACGGCTGGCGCTTTGATCTGCTCTGCAGTCTAGCAGGGCGCGTGTTTGAGCGAAATAAAATAATGGGCAGCGGGACCCCATCATTAAGCAATTCATTTAGTAATTTAATTATCCATTCTCAAAGACTTCCAGGGCCTGGGGACCCAAAGACGCTCATGCTAAAGTTCAGCCCCCTTGGGGCGCCCCCAGATCTGCACCTACCGCGGGCTCGCTCAAGACTGTCTCCTCGGCGCTCACCTACCCAGGCTCACCCAGGGCTGGAGACCCAGGGCTGAACGGAGCCCTGTCCCTGCCCCGGGGATCTTGCTGCTTCAAAGCACCATACAAAGAGAAAGCGTTAATTATTATTTTGAGTAATAATTATAGCGGTGCTACAAAGGAGGCGAGCCGCTTCAGGAGGGCAGCAGCTCAATCTGCTGCCAAAGGAATCCCCACCCTCAGGCCCGGGAAGTCGGGAAGAGCCACTTTCCTCCCGTCCTCGTACTCCTCGCGGCCGCGAGCCCGGAGCGGGTGCGGGAGGAGACAAGCTGAGCTCTGCAGCGGAGCTCACTCGCTTCCGCTCCCTCCCGCTGTCACCCTCACGGCTGCCTCGGCTACGGCGTCCCTGCAGACGGAACGAGGTGCAGGACAACTGTTTCCTCTATTATCTTTGGATCCAGACTCGGGAAAACTGAAGGTGGCCCTAGCAAGCCTGCTTTCGCGTCTCATTGGCCAGAAGAGCGCCACACACCGAGCCTCAGCCAATCACCGGCAGGGAGACCAGGCGCGTCGCAATTGGCTTAGACGTGAGGCCCCCTCTCTATGAGCCCCGGGAGCTGGGTTTCTTCCCCTTCAGGTGAAGCAGCCCACCCAGCACCCCCGAGCCTCGCAGCTGAGGGATGTCAGGTCGGGGTCCGGGTCCTACCCGCACTCCCGGAGGTAGGCACAGTTCTGTCCTCTTGTGTTTTGTACCACACGGTATCCTATCGTACGTGCCCAAAATGTGCATGTAAAATGGACTCAAGTACGAGTTTATTTTGGTGTAAAACATGTTTGAAATCCATGGTTAGCTTTTCGTAATATGCATCTCCCATGAACTCTGTGAAGCCCCCTTGCACTCTGAACTGAACGAAGGACGAGCAGACAGTCCTGGGGAACGGAGCCCTGTTCGATCTCAGCCCGTGGGCGGGAGCGGTTCCCCTCGCCTGAGCTCGCCCTCGGTCACTCCACGGAAGGGAAAGGAAAAGCGAGGAAGGCTCTCTCTGAGTGCTTTGTAGTACCACATAACCCCAGGTCTTCACAAGAACCCCCTGAGGTGACCCTAGCATGCAGGAAGCACAGGAGTGGCTGGGACCCCGGGAGGGATCGTTCCGTTGCAGGGCCCACAGCAGTTTCTGAGTCCGCGGTCTGAGGAGCGGGCTGAGAATCTGCACGTCCAGCAAGCCCAGGGCCAAACTGTGAAGCTGGTCTGGGACCAGAGTGAGGCCCCTGTGTTAGGGGAACATCTGGAGTGCTGGAGTCGGCGACGGCGGAGGAGCGGAGCTGGCGGAAGGCCTGGCTGACTTGCACCTACTGACAAGCACCAGCCAAGAGGGCTGGCTCCTCTGACCACGGCTACACCCACTACACCTACCGACTGCATGTCTGCAGCACCACTGGGGGAACTAGGTCTGAAGATCATGGAGTCTGTGTGGGCCAGAGCTGAGGGTTTTAGGCAAAAGAGTGGCATGACCCTATTTTAATCTAAAAAAGAAAACTCTCTGGGACTAGCAGGTGGCGTGGTGATTAAGGGTGCTGGACATTCCCACATGGCAGACCGCAGTTCAAGTCCTAGATCCAGTGCTTGAAAATCACACCAGGTGTGTGCGTATGCATCCTTAAGATCCTGGAAGGAGAATGGAGGAGAAGAGATTGTGGCATGGCCATCCCACC